AAGCACCAATTCTTTGGTGGTCAGCCTTCTTTATGGTCCAGTTCTCACTTCCATACATCACTACTGGTAAAGCACCTTGTGACAGGGTGCATCAGAAGAATTTAGCACATATTACAATAGAAATCAACTTAAACCCAATCCTACTATGATTCATAGAATCAGAGAATAATTGAGTTAGAAGAGGGCTATGAGGCCTTTGAATCCAATCCCTTGCTCAGCACAGGAATCTGAATCAAAGCAGATATGACAGGTGGTTGGTTGTCCAATTTTCTCTTGAATGTCTCCTGCATTGGAACACTTGCCACCTCCTGAGGTAATTGGTTCCATTGTCATACTGCTCTAATAGTTAATAATTTTTCCCTGACATTCAGCCTAATCTGGCTTCTTGTAGATTCACTCTGGGAGGATTGAGAACAAATCCTGCCCCTGCTCTGTATGACAGCCTTTCAATTATTTGAAAAGTGCTATCATGTCTCTCCTTAGTCTTCTCTTCTGAAGGCTAAACAAGCCAAGTTTTTTCAGTCTTTCCTCATAGGGTTTGGTTTCTAGCCCCCTGATCATCTTTGTTGCTCTCCTCTGAACATGTTCCAGTTTGTCAGCATCCTTATTGAAGTGTGGTGTCCAGAACTGTATACTCTGTATATCTACCTTTCAAGTATTTCAAATATGTGCTTTCCATATGAGAAACAAGTACTGTAGGCATCTCAGAAATTTCAGTTTACCTGGAAGGTTGTCCAACTGGATTGTTGTTGTTTACCCTCTGACACTTAAGTGCTATATTGGATCACATGCTGAGCTATATTTTGAATCTGTCAAAATACAAAGCAAAAGGCATCCATAATAAGCAATATTCTTCAAAAGCTTTTGGGAACCAGTTGGGAAATACTGTTTCCCCGAAAATAAGACCTAACCTGAAAATAAGCCCTAGTATGATGTTTCAGGATGCTCGTAATATAAGCTCTAGCCCAAAAATAAGCCCCAGTTAAATGAAAACCCACCCTCCACCATTGTGCAGCATTGTGCAGCAACCAGAAGGTGACAACTGTATTTGAATAAACGTAAATTGGTGTACATGAAAAAAATTAAACATCCCCTGAAAATAGCCCTAATGTCTATTTTTGGGGAAACACAGTACAAATAATAATAACTACAGCCTTGGCCATGTACTACGTTGTAGGTGAATATGCCAGCAAAGTGTGGTATAGTTATGCCCATGCAGAACAGTTGCATGTAGCTCTCAGTGAAAGCCAACACCAATTGATCAAATAAATTACCCAGCAGGCATTGCATCGAGTGACATACGGAGCAGAAAATGTTGAAGTGAAAGACTCACAGTACCCACATCAAATGTGCATCCACTCTTTGACTACAACCCCACTCCTCCCAGATTCAAATCAGGGAAACATTTTTTCAGAACATCTGTGAATCTTGAAGAAAAAGCAGAGAATTTCAGGACTATAATGTGGAATGTAAAGGGGAGGGCGAGGGGGAAGAACTATCCATTTCTTCAAATAGAAGGAACTGCAGAAACGTCTAGACCCTGGCCACATTGAGAACTAGGTTACTTGGAAGTCACTTAATAGACCACAGAGTGGAATTAGTAGAACCAAAGTGAACTAAAACAACTGAGTTTTTGCACCAGCACAGTTATTTGTTAGTGCAGAGAACAGTAACTTCACACCTATGTCAGTGCACTCTATCCCTTTCAACTTGTACCATAGAAGACTTGATACAGCCTGACATTCTCTTGATGTTCCCCATTACTGGTGAAAATAATGTGATATTTTTATAAATTGTACTCTGGTGCTTCTGACATGAACAAAGAAAAGAAAGAATTTGTCTCACACTGAATTGCAGGGGCATGAAATTAATTAGTTTATGTATGTCGCTAACTATACTGACAGAAACCATGACAAAATTAAGCCAATATGTACTGTTGTCTTGAAAGTGGCTGTTGCTAACATGGCTGTTTGATTATTGGCTTTTTAAAATCTCCTTCATATTACAATTAAGAATATCAAAATTAGTCATCACTCGGGCAACTAAGAACCAAACACAAACATTTTTACAGGAGGATCATCTGACATTCACTCTTTGATGCAGTAACTCATGTCAAGCAATTCCTCTTAAGGAGAATTGGTTACAGTAATCTCCAGGATAAAACATTCCTACGTAAGTCCAATTATTCCTCACTGAACCATTGCTTTAGCATTACATCATATGAATAAAACTTTAGGCTCATCCTCTTCCTTTCTCCTTTTCCACCCATGGAGTTATAGGCTTCTGTTTCTGCTTTCAACTGACTACAATTTAATGTTCTATATAACCCTTGACTATGACTAATCTTACCAGTGGTTTATCAAAAGAAATCAGGTTCGTAAGGCAATTTGAAGCTATAAAGCATAGTTACAACTGATTGACTTTGTCCAGGCTCAAGCATAATGCTAAATCATGGTTAGTCATAAATGGGAGTAAACACAACTGATCATCTGACAGTCCCAGTGGAAATACCGTAATGGAGAAATGTTTGAGTCCAAAGTTTGCACAGTCACATTCAAACTAGACAACAAGGGCTTGTTAAACCGAATTAGTCGATGTACCAAAACCATTTAATTCAGGCAAGTGACAAAGATAGTTAACAATCTTCCAACTCTGTCTTGCAGCAGTAATAGCATAAACATTGAAATCTCAGGAAAGTAATGATTAGACAGCCAACTCTTTAATTTGGAAGAATTAAATCAAAGTAACTACAACTCATCAACAATTTCCAAGCACTGAGGTGGCATAGAATCCTTGTTCTGTTCATGAGTGTGCAATTAAAGTATAAAGGAAATACACCTTTGCACTCCTTTATTTGCCTTGAAGGCAAGAAAGCAAGCTTTTTCTAGTGCAAATCCTGGGTGCATTTTATATCTAGAATGTGAACTATAACATAGGATTGCAACCATGTTACTAAATTGCTAGTAAGTCTCGACTATACTGCACTTAAAAAGGAAAATTATTTTGTCTGTGCCCATGAGAACAAAGATGTATATATGTACCAGATTCCTCTCAGATTAGAACTTCATAAACTGTAAGTACGGGTTTCCCTCTAGTGGTAAGAGGAAGCAACAAGGTTTTTCCTTTTAATGCAACATTTTCTCTAGGAAATTGCTTTTCTCATTTTCGAATACAGTAGGGAAAATTGGGAAGACTGCTGGGAGCAACTTACCTCATGGATCAAAACAAGAGACACACAAACAGAGATTTAGCTAAAACATATCTGCAAATGATCTGTGAAGAGGAAGCATGGCATCACAAAATGATCCTTGTTTCTTTGATCATCATTCAGCTTGCAAAAGACAATGGTGTAAGGAACATACTGCACATTATGGTTCTTGTTAATTTGTTGTGGCCTCTAGTTTGACTTGAGCCTAATTTAGATGCTTTTTATTGTTAGCAAAATTAGTTGCTGCAAAGTTAACCAGTGAATTCGGCTTTTCAATATTGGAATGGTTAGGAAAGCACGCTTCTTCCTTTGGTCTGAGGAAGTGAACTTGTCCACAAAAGCTCACATTAAGACGCAGCAGTTAGTCTTTAGGGTGCCATGATGTTTTTGTCTTCGTTTTTATTTTGGTTTTGCCTGATCTGATCTGCTACCACAGATTAATACAGCCACCTCTTCAAAAGTACTCCTTTGGAAATGAGTCCTTTTCCTTAGAAATAGAAAAGGCCCTCCTCTGTATGACAGATAGTATCTATTAGAGAAACGGATTGATATAAAAGATTATATAAGCAGCTCTGCTTTTAGCTTATGACGATGGAGGAAAATAGTTGTCCCCACTCTTGGGAACAAAGTCAACATGTCTTCTCTCAGAAGGAATGCAAGAATGCAGAACACTTAGCTCAGCCACCCTAAGAGTATCAGTCTAAATAGTCAGCGCAGGTCAGATCAGGTAAAAGATGATCTAGGTCAGGAAACTGAAGGAGGTTCTTCCCATCTGCTCCTCCTCATTCAAAGATATGTACCTTCAGTAGTCACATAACACCCATAAAACTAATTAGTTTTAGTTTTGATAAGCTTGTGTGTGTCGAAGCATATTTCTTCCTGTATGTCTGTTTCTCCTAATTGCCCAGAAACAAAGTCATTCTATTCATCTGAAGAAGTGAGCTTAGATACACAACAGTTGATGAAAGAAAATACATATTTGATTTATATACTACCCGTCTGGCTACCAAGGCCACTCTGGATGGTTCACAACTTAAGTCTTCTAGGTGTTACATGGTTTCTCTTTTGCTATAACAGACACAGACACCTCCTAGATTACATGTATCTTTGGTGTAATCTACCTACTAGAATATATGTACTTTGCTTGCATCCATTTGCTTCCACCCACGTTTACATTTAAAGCCTATAATGAGCTAGTTACCTTCTAGAATACTTTTCATGTATTTTTCCTGCCCTTAAAAGTGAGAGTAAACAACTTTTTCCTGGATCTTTCTTCATTAACCCGTTCAGTTGTGGGACTGCCAATGACAACTTTCCCATATTAAAAGCTTGCACATGCTCACTTCTGAGAATTCCAAAGTCTTCCCCAGGGCAAGAGGGATCCCCTAGAAGCTGAAGGGGGGGATGGAAGAAATTGTTTTATTTAATTACATAAAAGATTTCTGCTGCTGGATGATGTCATCTGGTTTACAAAAGGTAAATCTACACCAACAGAATTGTAGGCATTGTGTGAGGCCAGCTTTTAACTTAAAAGCTACCAGGCAGAGATCAAGCAAGATTCCTCTACAAGATTCTCTAAGAATGGATTTCAAAGGTATAAGTATAAATTAATTTACTTGTACAGTCTTCTTAATGAATTTTAAGCCAGAGTTTGTGTCATAACAAACTTAGTATCAAGGTGCCAGTATTAAAAGTGCTTAAGATCAACCACTACCTCCGCCAACAGAACCAGGCTGATTAGAGTGACCATCATGAAAAACAATGACTAATACAACATATTTTAAATCTTTTATTTATTGTACAAACTATTTACACAATCATCTATTAGAGGCTTACATAATTCTTGCTGACTTCTTTCTAGAGCTGCCTAACTGGAAACAGGCCCTGGCCAAGCTAAAGTAATAGGTCTTGGTTTCTAAAGCATGCAATTTGCAGAAGTGGACCAAGTCCTGTAGTACTCACAGCTGTTTAAGAGGATAGAAGCCTATGCGAGGCTGTAACACAAGCCTAGCCTCTATCCTGGAAACGGATGCATTGAACATTAGATGGAACAAACAAGGGTGAAGGAAAAGGGAGAAACCTTTTCATAATTTCCATACACACACTACCGATGGCTAGAGCAGAGCCTGTTCCATGGCCCACACACAGGAATCAGGGCAACATACAAGGTTAGGAATGAACAAGAAGCAAAGTTTAGGAAAATAGTTGGAACTATAAAGCAGTGGGGGAAACGGACCCTGCTAATGATGGGAGCAACTAGGAGCACACATACAAGTAGCATCGTTAGCTAAGAACTAGCAGCATCCACCACTGCTCTGACTGTGCTTGTGTAAAAAGAAAATCCTTGGCATCTGCAGAGAGGCAAGAAGTGCCAAATACATAAATTAGGAGAGTGGTTTCAAACAGACGATGTCTGCTTGAATAACCAGCCACTCAGTTCGCAGTATAAAAACAGCTGAGCTTTTGAGAAGGAGGGGATTCCTGAGGAAGATGTAGCAGAACCAACCTTGAGCCATGGCTGGACAAGCCTTCGGCAGGCTAGGGAACAAGACAAAGGGCTGGAACAGCACCAAGCAGCAACCCCCTCAACCATCAAACTAGTTGAGCTGCACAGCATAATCTCCTTTTGGTCCCTGCAGAGAGCAGTGGGTAGAGTCAAAAGGCATTTGGGAGCCAAGACTGCACTGATCACAGAAGCCACCCTTCTGCAGTAAGGTGGCATGTACAAGCTTTTTCAGAGAACAACTGCTTGAAGGAGTAAACACATCTGCCATGAAGGAAAATACAGTGGTGGTCTCTAAAAATGCCACAAAAGGGGAGGGAATCCCTGAGTTGTCCCAATACTCAGAGTTCTAAACATTTTGGCAAAACAATGGCTTGGATTTCTGTACAAATATAATATGCATTCGGCTAAAGAAAAATCCAAGATAAAAAGTTCTATTGAAGCAGGTTCGAAAACTGTCATTCTTCTAATTTGTATATGATTTGGCTTATGCTGGAAAAGCACACACCTACCTTTAAAAAAGTAGTGATAGCAAGACATGCCTACTTGAGTTCTCAAGAATGTTGTAGCCCCAATCTGTGGCAGAACTACTGGGTTGGAAAATCTGGAACAATTGTGAACTGCAATTTCTATGTTTGCTTTTATGCGATATCAAACCGAAATTCCAGCTTTGGTAGGAAGGGCACCCTCGATGCAAGCAATGACATTTTAAGCTCCTCTCATGAAGTAACTAGCCACCACCATCTCTCACTGTTGACCAGGAGAAATGTCCTGTTGGTACAAATATGTTCCGTTTACAATCCAATCAGATTTTGGGTTTGCTAACAAAAGCTGATTGGCTAGGTTGCCAATGAAGATCCCTGCTTTCCCACTCCATTACTGCCAAGGAAATGGGAGTGAAGAAAAGGATGTAACCAAAATTAAGAGATGATTGGTTAGATGCAGCAGTTTATACTGTCACTCTCTCATGGCCTGAAGAATGATTAGTGCAGCATGCTGTTCTGTGGATTCATGTCTTTTATGCCCATTTAGGTAGTTCTAATTTCATATTTTAATACCATAGAATGCTCAAGACACAGAACGCGGAGCAACTAGAATGAAAGGAGGGTACAAGTATTGAAACCTTATTGAACAACTCTCTGACTGAAGCAAGCTAGAGAAATAATACTCTTGCTGCTATGTGGTAGAGACAATAACCAGACTCTGTGGACTGGGAGAGACCGAGGTACTGGGCCCGATTCAATACTCATCACTCCACTGTACTTGTATACAAATGTACATTTGATGCACACAGTAATGGCATTGCCTCTTGACCTACCACCATTGCTTTCTTAGTAACACAAAAGGTTGATACTGGGATATGTATGAGACCTCAGGTGTATACAACAATCTTCTCTGAGAAAGGGGAATTAGGGAATGGTAGAGAAAACAGGTAGCTCACTATCAGAAACTACAAATGGAGGAGAAACTCCTTTTTCCAGTTCAATGTCAGAGACCAGCAGAAGCCTCTGCCACTAAAGAAATACATCCTGTTGCCAGCTCCTGGCGGAGGTAGAATAATGTCACTGTGGGGGCCAGCACTTGTGCTCATGACAGAAATGCTGCTTTTTCCAGAAAAAAAATCAAGAAGTGGCAGCACACAGTGCAAGGTGCCTAAGAGAATTAAAAGCCTTAAAGGACCAGGTACCAAAAGGAAGGGAGGGAGATTATACCCTCTCATAAAATCCAAGTTAAAGGGATATTATTTATGTGAAAACTTGGGCCAAGGCATGGAAAGATATTAAGGCTTCCCATAATCTGGGGATTCAGAGCTCTATACTATTTCCTCATCCCCATAGCAACAAGAATACTGCAAGTTACAGCTTTTCTTCTGTACTAAATACCCATTTCTGCCTATGAGCTTCCCCCCTCCCCATTTCAGAAAACCAGAAACCATGTGAAGTACCATGTCATCCAAAAATATGGACCCCATTTCATGTACCATGCCGGGAAGGGAAAGGGGCAAGATATGCTCCCAAATACAGACTTCAGACAGGGGGAGGCCTGTGTAATGCCAGAGACTGATGTTTCTGTTTTCATAATGCCTCTGTTCTGTTCTCCTTTGCCCTGAGGGTGGATGTGAGACTGGAGCAGTGACGTGAGGCTGGATCTTGCCCTGAAGAATTCAGAAAGTTAGATGGATTCCTTCTGGGGAGTTAGAGCATGCCAAAACCTTCACAGCCCTCACTGATGGCCAATTGTAGCATCTTGTGCACCTCTTCATAGGAATCGTAAGTTGGGAGGCACAGCTGGTTAAAACTGAAAGAAAGAACAAAATCTGCACATAATATGAATTACTCGCACATAATTTATCCCACATTCCCTAGGCAAGGAAAGGATGTGCATACAGTGGGGTCTTCACTTACGAACGGCCCGAGTTACGAACATTTTGACTTAAGAACCACTCTCATAGGAAAATATTGACTTGACTTACATACTTAGATTTGAGTTACGAACTGAAAAAAAACCCACGTGGGAGGCAGGGAAAGTGCAAAATTTGAACTCCCAGTTAACTGTTGGCCAGTGAAAAGGGTGCCTGTCTGCTTCCTCACTCCTCCCAGCGTTTAGAGAGTGGATTGGGAGACAGTCTTCGGACTGCCTGGTACTGTCCTGCCTGGACTGTATTTTCCCTGCTTTCCCTGAACCTTTCTTGACCTAAGAAAAAAAGAAACAAAATATCCCCCTCTAGTGGTTTGAAGGCGGAATAGCAGCTTCCCATTAGTTTCTATGGACGGAAAAGAGCAGATACGGATCAAATGGTTTTCAATGCATTCCTATGGGAAATGCAGATTTGACCTGCGAACTTTTTGACTTGAGAACCACCTTCCAATACGGATTAAGTTCTCAAGTCAAGACCCCACTGTACTTGCTCTTGTGGCAACACATTTGGTATCAAGCTACCAGATGCTTACTGCAAGCAGCTAAATGACATTAGAAAGGGCCTCCCAAAACAGCATCAACAATCCACTAAAAAATCAATGACAGACAGACTGCTGTTTATCACCTTGCAGCTGATGATCAAGATGGCCACTCAGTCTGACAGCACTCAATTTATACTCACCAAGTATGGGCCGTTGGCAGTGTACTGTGCGTCGGAGCTGCAATAATCTGGAAAGATGGACAAAGTGCAGCAAATCCTCCAGGAGGCAACTGAGAAGAACCAGTGGTGAACTGCAACAGCCTGGCCAGCTCCTCTTGTGTGAAACTGGAGACCACTGTCCAAAACCACCGCATAACCTGAAAAGCACAGTAATTGCTCAGAGAAGCAAGGGCAATGGCAGATCACAGGGAGAAAACCCAAATAAGAAATTCTCACAAGAACAAGTAGCATTGAAATGTCACAGCCATGTGATTATTCTATCAAGACAGAGAATTAATTTAATATGTCATATTCCCCCCGTTTTGAATTAAACCTTTCTCCAACCCCCACTATTCAGCTGATATGACCTTGCACCATCCTCTACATCTCGTAAGGTTCATTTTCTCTCTGTTTCTAATGAATGCAGGAACAAAAATAATAAAATCACAGACACTGTTGTCATTAAATAACTTAAGTTTGGCCCAAACTTATGAACCTGGTATGTTCCTAGAATGTTATAGACAAAACCAAAGGAAAGTAATCTATGAAACAGCTGAATTCTACATCACAAGAAGGTTGATTGAAAAAGACTCAGCTTGAAAGCTTATTGTCTAATCTTCGCTTTTCCACTGCTACAACTTTTCCTCTCTGTTCAAAAAGTGCTCTTTCTCCCTTGTCAGGTCCAGACCAGAGGTTGGGCAATTCGGTTTTGTCTTTTGTTTTTATGGAGGCAGCAATTCATTCTACCCACCTTCTCTCGGAAATGCCAAGAACCACCCACTACTACAGCATGCGCTTTGAAATCACAGACACTGATATCTCCAGTACCACACATCAGCAGCTAGAAGAAAATAAGCACATTCAGTTAGGAAGAATTGGACTGTTTTCTCTTCAAGACAGCATACAGTTACCTCAGAATTCAAAATGATGGCAATAAGAGGAAACTCAAGTAATACATTATCAGACAATTCTAGCCAAAAATAGAGCCAACTGGAAACAAAGCAGGTTTCAACATGCTCAATGGAAACCCAGGTTTTGCAAGGGAAAATGACTTTAAAAAAGAAAATGCATAACATAAGTGGTCCATCGGTGGTTCTAGAACTGCGTGCAGCCCTCAGCTCTCTGCAAGTGGTCATATCATGGCTCTGGATAGGGACAGATGTGAAAGTGACAGAAAAAGTAGTGACTTTATTCCTTTAGCACAGTAGTTCCCAACCTTTTTTGAGTCACAACCCCCTTTTATAACAGCCAAGTAGCCTGTGATACCCACCACTTTGTTTGCATAAAAAGCCATTTTTAATGGGGTAAAGACATTCCTTCTTAGAAAGTAAAGCCTTCTTTCTCTCCCCCCCCCCCCAGGGCCTGTTTCTCATACACACACATACACAGTGGCATTAATAGCCTGCTCCAAAAGGTCAAGGAAAATCTTTTTAACAAGGGCTACAACACATATAAGATTTATGCCACAGGATGTGGTGATGGCATCTGGCCTAGATATCTTTAAAAGGGGATTGGACAGATTTCTGGTGGAAAAGTCAATCACAGGTTACAAGCCATGATGGGGATATACAGTATAATCTCCAGGCTTAAAAGGAAGGTACCTCAAAATGCCAGATGCAGGGGAGAGGTATCAGGAGACAGGTATCTAATTGTCTCATGGGCTCCGAGAGGCATCTGGTGGGGCCACTGTGAGACACAGGAAGTTGGACTAGATGGGCCCTTGGCCTGATCGAGCTGGGCTCTTCTTATGTTCTTATGTAAGGTGAGCTGCAGCTCCCCAAAAAACACTTTGCGATCCCCTTAGGAGTCATGAACCCCAGGTTGGGCCCTGCACACTTGGAGATCCCCATGGATTAGCCATGAAGAATGTGTTTATGGGGGCAGGGGGAGGTTGCCTACACTTGGTCTAAGAGGTGTCAGCATGCTCAGTAGCTGCAGAAGTCAGACTGATAGCCGGGGGAATGGAAATAGAGTGGTGGAAAATGCCCTGCTTGGAAGGAATATTTCAGTGATTTTTTTAAGAGAAACATACCTTTTAGAAGGGAAAACCACCCTGCATTTATTTTTTTTATTTTTTATTTATTTATTGTATTTATACCCCGCCTATCTAGTCATTTCGACCACTCTATGTATACTTTGTTACAGGTCTGGCTTATACCTCTCTACTTTACCAAGCTAAGATTTGTTCATTCAAGTTACAAAATAAGACCGCAATTTCACATGGTATAAATGATGGTAAAGAAAGGGAGTTTATTTCAGTACAAACTACAAGATAAAAATTCATAAGGGGGATAAGATCCTGAAGAATTACAGAACAGCTGCCATTTCTACTAGTGATCTCAGACATGGACTTTGGTGACAACAGTCCATGTACACCTCCCCTAGTCTCCACTGTGAATTCACAATATAAGCCTAGAGTAGTTGCTAGATTTGGTTGAAGCATTAATTGAACTTATCAATCCTTACTCAGAAGTTCTGCATGTGTGTTTTTATGTCTAGAAACAATGTCACATACCGAGCTACTTCCCAAATAAACAAGGTGTAGGTCTCTTGCTCTAAAGCAGCAGAAGGAATCTAGCCTTGAACAGATACCTCATTTATACTTCTAAGGATTTACAGGAGACAGGCAATTTTCAGGAAAAGGGAAAGGGACACATACAAAACTGCATCCACCCCTGCCTGTGCCATGCATTTCCCATTCCTTATCCCCAAACTTGTAGTTTTGAAAGAATAAGTATTTCTTGGGTCTAAAACAGACACTACAGATCAGAACAGATAAACTCACTCCCAGAGCCTCTAGGGGCTTTTTTTCAGAGCTTCGCAAGAGCCCCTGATGCAACAAACAAGTCAAAAGTGGGGTAAGTTATTTGGCTCTTAAAATAAAATATGATTATTTTCTGAGTTTTGTTTCTGAGTTGGATAGCCTCATAAAATACAACACAACTTGGTCTTATATTTTATACAAACACAATCGTTCCTAAATGAGATTCCCCAAACCTCCTATTCCAGGTGTATCATGCTTGATCGGGAAGGTACAGCCACCTCAAAGAAATCAACATATAATCTCACCTCAAGTTCATTTTCATCAAAAATAGCTAGGAGGTTTTCAGGAACCAGTTCGTTGAGACCTAGAAGAGAAATAAATAAATAAACCAACATGTGGCTGCTCCCAGGTAGTGTAAAACCTGAGAGGCTATGCCAGCTGTCTTGTTCTTTTGGCAACAGCTGAAGATTATCTTTTTAGACACACATTTAACAACTAATTAGACTATTTTTGATCTAGTGTGCTGGACACTACTTTCATTTATCTTTGTTTTTAAGGATTTTTAAAACTGTTTTAACTAATCATTTTAATACTACTGTATATTAAATGGTTTTTAGTGCAATAATTTATTGTTGTTTTAGTTGGTTTGTTTTTTTAATGACTTGTGAACCGACTTGGATCCCTCAGTTTCGGAGAAAGGCAGCATTCTAAATGAAATAGAAATAAATAAATGTTTTTTAAAAACCCTCAATTAAAAAAAAACACATACACTGCATTACCTTTCAAGAAGTGGTCCACTTCCTCTCTAACCTGATTGGCCAGTCTGTACTGTGCAAGCAAATTTAGGTAGAACATTTTGTTCTCATTTGTTACCGGCATTTGTGCACCACCAGTTACCAGCTCAACCACCTGAAAACAAAACATGACAGAATGTTCATGTGGAGATAAAGAATTTGCTTCATATGTCCTCATCAGTAGGAACTCTTTATAATACGAGTTAGCAACATGAGGCTCTGGATGTTGCTGGGCTGCATTTTCTGACAGACCTCGCCAGTGGTAAGAATGATGGAACTTGCACTTCAACAACATCTAAAGAGTGAAACGTTATTCACCACCATCACCTCCTTTTTTGTCCTACTTTTCCCAATTAAAAACTAGTAGGAATCCCAAATATACCATCTCAACCAGCATCTCTCACCTTCTCAAGTTGTCCCGATTTGCTGTATTTTTCTTCAGCAAAGACTAGCTCCATCTCACTCACATCATTATTCAGGACGAAGCAAACTTTAGATTTATAGAACTCTGGATCATCTGTCTCAAAATACTGTGAGGAAAAACAGCACAAGAAAGGAGGGACGAAAATTCAGTATGTGCTGTGAAGCCACATATTGTCTGTTTCATATACTCAAAAACAGAACAGGGGGTTAAGGATACCATTACCTTATAATGCATCCGCAAACCTATGATCTGAGCCAAGAAAGATCTGGTGAAGCGAGCTCTCACCAACTGCTTGTAAGCCCCTCCCAAAGATGACTCATACAGACACTTCCCAACCAAGCGCCCTGCAAATTCATACACCTTCAGCCGCAGATGAGGAGGACGGTTGGGGTTAGGGTGCACCTGCAAAAAAGAAATCACACAATTCTCACAGCAATTACTGTGGTAATCAGTTCAAGCTAAACAAAGGCAAAACTCTACTACAGACTCATCTCGAGACTCATGGTGTAGTGGTTAAACTGCAGTACTGCAGCCAAAACTCTGCTCATGGCCTGGGTCGAACCAGCTGGTTCACTCAGCCTTCAGTCCTTCCAAGGTCAGTAAACTGAGTACCCAGCTTGCAGGGGAAGGGGCAATGTATAGCCTACATAATTAAATTGTAAACTTTAGGCATTCTGGGACAGTATAAAAGCAACATGCTTTGCTTGTTTTGCTTTGTTGTACAGTACATCATGATCATAAGATTCATACCCATGATTTAAACCTACACACAGAAGTCTGTTGAGACTGAAGGAACCATTTTCAAGTCTGAAGCTAATTTTAATGACACAACATTTAATCACCTGAAGACTAGGTTTCTTTATGCAATCATAATGGCACAGTATGTGTTAGTACATACATAAGGATGTATGAAGACTATTCATATATAATTTGATATTTAAAAAAACCTCCCTATATCTTAGGAAACGTAGGCATTTAGTACTCATGGATACCAAATTCATGAAGAATATCCAGCAGGAGACAGGGACTAATCCTCCTCTCTTGATGTTGGTGGCCATACATTCCTATCCACATATTATCAAACCACATCTGAAACAAGTCATTTCTCTGTGTATAGGGTTTACTCCATGGAGAGTGGGAGCACAGTTAAATCAGGTTTTCTGTTCCCACAGAGAAAGCCCTACATGAGTACAAGTGGTCCCATTCAGATCACCCAAAAAGACATAGTGACTTTACTTCTTGTTTGCTTTTGTACATTTGGTAACCATGGACACCCATGCCTTAAAGAACTTATTTCACCAAATAAAAGAGCAGACGGTACTTTTTCTACCCTGCCATTACAAGCACTTTTTAAATTCTCAGTAACATTTCTAATACAAGCTCATGCTAACTTCTCTTCCTTCATACATTGGCCTTTTATTAACCTTGTTTAAAGCAGAAAGCCAATTACTTATCTCTATACAAGACAAACCAGAAAAAGCTTTGGAGAAAGTAAAAGCTTGACCACAAGCCTCTAAGTGGAAGACACAAACAGAGGCATTCCTTCTACTTATATCAATGAATGAGGGAAAATACCCACCAATGCTTGGTTGTTGTCACTGAAGCGGGTAAAAAGCTGATTGGTAGTGTCAAAGAGGACTTTACAGATCAATTCGAACCACTCTCTGCGAGGACCCCCCCAGTCCAAAGCTAAAAGAAAGTAAAACCCAAGACCAATCAAAATTTGCAGCAACTTTATGCCTTCTAAATCACAGCTGTCAAGAAGCTTCCCCCTTTTACATATAATTTTACTACTGTACACAGATCACTTCTATGCTGATCTCTGTTCTTGCAAGCTTAAAAACTGATAAGATAAATCCATGGAAGTTAGGGTCATCAATGGCTACTAGTCAATATATTTATATTATCACCTTATCAGAGGTAGGAGGCCTCTGTATAGCAATGCCTGGAGAAGACTAGACAGAAGGAGCAGTTGTACTCAAGTCCTGGATGGTCACTGTGTGAACAGAGCGCCAGACAAGATATGGTTCTTGTCTTATGCAACAGGGCTCTTCTGATATTCTTATGTTATGAAGTGGGAAGAATGGAACACCTGTTTTTCTTCCCATCAGGCTCTTGTAGAAGAAATTACCATCCATATTCTGATAATAGAACTGGATGTCAACCTGAGTGAAATCAAAAAGACCTGGAAGAATGCTATAGCTCTGGTACACAGTCACTGTTTCACTTTGGATGAGCCGTGCAACCTGAGTCCACATAGTTTTATCTTGAAGATGAGGTTTATTTGTAATAGGAGCTACGTTCATGGAGGACTGCAACATGAAAGTCTTAGAAAACTTTAGTCATTTGAAGTATAGAACAAAGACAAACAGGCTTTGTATATTCATGTCTTTGAGGTACACAAGTTAACTCACCTTCCTCATCCTGGAAAATGACTTCAAAGTTTTTGCTCCAGTCAGAAACAGAAAAATTCCGTGTTGCTTTCAGAGACTAGGGATATAGGGAAGATCTGACATAAATTCATATTCACAACCAAAGGCTAAAATGAAATCTTACTTTCATGAATAAATCTCTGGTAAACCAACTCTGTGTGTTCTTTACCTCAAAAACCCTGGAAAGCTCCACCATAAGCCAAAACTGACTTAACAGCATGCAATTATTATTATTATGAATTCCTTCAGCTTTTCCTTATCTGCAGATATTGGACAAAACCCCATCACAGAGCTTTATACTCATAGATGGCAGCCTCACCATTCAGCCCTAATCTGTTTTGTATTTATTTTAAAATCTTCAGGTGTAAAGACATTTTTCCTAAATCTTTCCCATTCTTCTGTTTGTTCTTTTCATTATGCAAAGCCACTTTTTCCTCATTGATATCTGAGAGTATACAAGAGCATTTCTACCACACAGGTCAACTGTCCACCTCATCTTAGCAACATTAGAAAAGGATTTATGATCTCCTTAATGCAGACTCCTTTCTCCATGTTGAGCAGCACAGGTTTCATTTAAAGGTTCTCACTTAGCCCATTTTGTAGCCCAAAGTGAAGAGACAGAGAATTCGAAGGACTAACTTGCTTGTAATTATACTGCATTGTGATCATATTTTTGAAGAAACATTATGACCTTAAAGGTAAACGGCATGTTTTTCTTCATTTACTGTGCAGGGTGTAGGGTGGTGGTGGTGAGGTCTCTGTTAAGTTCAGACAGTGTCTACATGCCCTTGAATGCTGCCTTCCCAGTGCAATCTTTCAAGATTTCTGCAACAAATCCACTCACCGATTCTAAAAGATTGTGGCGACTGACTTTCAGAGTTACTTTGGAATGGGGTCTCTTCATATGCACCTGACGAAGCTCCCTATGGAAGAAGTTGACTTTGTCTTGAAAGGTCTCTGAGCCTCCTAAAACCAATAAGCCCAAGATCATTTCAAAATTCTCAAACATCTGAAGCATCGACTGCATTCTCAGTCTTTCTTACAAAACTCCAGAATCAGTGTGTCACAGACTTCTAAAAAACTGCATCTGTATTTTGTGTCTTTGATGCATACCGATAGACAGACATATCTCAAGACAGATCACAATAGCATCAACAAGGCATTTCACTATTCCACTATACCCTCTAATTAACAGAGACTTAAGAAAACAAAGGAGAGAAAACCATAATTTTTTCTTTTTTAAAAAAAGCATTACTTCAGGAAAAGAAAAGAAAAAGAAAAAGAGCCAGTAACAAAGACAAAAATCCCAAGGACTAACATTTCTATGTTCCTCTGATTTTTACTCTTTCTTCACATCTGTATTCTTGCACAACTCTAATTCTTTCATTTGCACCAACAGTTTTTAAAAGTATGATCTGTCTGTTTGTCCGAGCACAGAAGAAGACAGATTTCTTGAAAATGGACAAAGGGAATGAAAAGGAAAATGGGGATGAATAGTTAACACATCACGCATTTGTAGCGGCTTTTTAAAGTTCAGTTTTCACCCATTTAAAAAAAAAAAACTTGGAAGGAAGAAGCCTATTGAACCTCTACTGGAAGTTGAACATCTATTGGAACTTCTCAGGACTCTCTCTTATAGATGCTTAAATGTGATTAAGTCACAACCATATATGAAAAGGTAAAAGACTGATTTGACCTGAAGAGAAACCAGCGTGTTTCTGTTAGGAAAATTCAGTAGCGCTCATAGGGCACAAACTGAAACCTGCTCAATTTTAACAGTACAAACCTGTTACGTACCTTTCCAGACCATACCTGCTTTTCTTGACTTAATGGTTAAGTACACAAAAAAAGCTGTCCAGACTCAAAGTAAAAACCCACACAGTCCAGCTTTCTGTTCCCAAGCATCCAATCAGATGCCTACAGGAAAACCCTAAGCAGGACACAAATGGAATAACACCTTCTTACATATGTTACCCAGCAGTTAGGAGTCAATGGCACATCTGACAGTGGGGATAACACACAGCTAACATGGCTGGTAGCCACTGACAGCTTTATTCCCTGTGAATTTACCTAATTTAACTTTGACTTGGGATTTTAAGTTGTTTACTGTATTTGTATTGAAAGTCAGGTTTGCTGGTTGCAGGGGAATAATTGTATGTTTTTTTTGTTTTTTGTTTTTTATATCCCGCCTATCTGGTTGGGTCAGATAATTATATGTTGATAAAATTGTATTCTTATAATGTATTGGTAAACATTTGACTAAATTTACTATTGTAAACTGTCTAGGGACTGCTATGCACTATGTGGTGGTATATAAGCTAAATAAATAAAGATGCAAGATTTTTCCAAAGAAGGGACAATTGTACTAGAACTCTTATCAGAAACTGGGAAATCATACAGTAATTTCCAAAGAAATAATTCTACTTCTTTGGAAGCAGCTATCACAGCATGCTGGCAGAAAAATAGTATTTAAAAAACCCCAAAACAATGTATCACTTTAAAGATCTAATTCTGAAGAAGTGGACATTTAGCCGTGAAAATTCACACTAAATTAAATTGTTAATCTTTAAAGTGCTAAAAAAATTTTTTTCCTATTCTTTTGCCAAAATGAGAAAACAGTTGTTCTTAAACAGTGGTCCCAGCTTTGGGTAACCCAGGTGCTGTTGGACTGCAATTCCCAGAAGCCTTCACCACTACCTGTGCTGGCCGGGGTTTCTGGGAGTTGCAGTCCACAAACAGCTACATTACCCAAGTTTGAGAACCACCTTTAATCTATGTTTTGCAACCCCCAGCCAGTGAATTGGGACAAGACTTCCCCAACAATATGGTAAAGGTAAAGGTTCCCCTTGACAATTTTTGTCCAGTTGTGTTCACCTCTAGGGGGTGGTGCTCATCCCCTTTTCCAAGCCATAGAGCCAGCGTTTCTCCGAAGACAATCTTCCGTGGTCACATGGCCAGTGCGACTTAGACACGGAACGCTGTTACCTTCCCACCGAGGTGGTCCCTATTAATCTACTTGCATTTGCATGCTCTCGAACCGCTAGGTTGGCGGGAGCTGGGACAAGTGACGGGTGCTCACTCTGCCACGTGGATTCAATCTTACGACTGCTTGGTCTTCTGACCCTGCAGCACAGGCTTCTGCTGTTTAGCGCACAGCAAAATTTTTCATGAAAATGACTGCAGAAGAATGATCAGCATACTTATTTATTACTGTATTTTTCGCTCCATAAGACGCACCTCTCCATAAGACGCACCAAATTTTTAGAAGAAGAAAACAGGGAAAAATTAATCTTCTAAAAATTTGGTGAGCCTTATGGAGAGGTCCGTCTTATGGAACACACCCTAGCCCCCTCTGGCCCCGTAGGGTGTGTTCCAGGACCCTTTGGAGGCTCACCCTGACCCCCCATGGGGCCAGAGGGGGCGAAATCGCCACCTTCAGGGACTCTTCTGAAGCTTCCCAAGCCTCAAAAGAGTCCCAGAAGCTGGCGATTTCGCCCCCACTGGCCCCGTTGGGGATGGAGGGAGCCTCCCAAGGGTCCTGGAAGGCAGACCCAGACCCTTGGGAGGCTCACTCCACCCCACCCCCTGAGGGCCAGAAGGAGCGAAATCACCACCTTCAGGGGCTCTTCTGAAGCTTCCCAAGCCTCAAAAGAGTCCCAGAAGGTGGCGATTTCACCCGCGCTGGCCCCATGGGGGGGTGGGGGGAGCATCGCAAGGGTCCTGGAAGGCTCACTTGGACCCTTGTGACGCTCCCCCCACCCCCCACGGGGCCAGCGTGGACGAAATCACCAGCTTCCAGGACCTTTTGTGAGGCTTGAAAGGCTCAGAAAACGTCCTGGAAGCTGGCAATTTCGCTGCCGCTGGCCCGGTGGGGGGTGGGGGGAGCCCCTCAAGGGTCCGGAAGGATCACTCAGACCCTTGGGAGACTCCCCCCACGGGGCCCGTAGGGGCGAAATCGCCACCTTCGCCCCATTTATGTGGGGGAGTGTGTCTTATGGAGCAAAAATACGGTATATTTATGCCAGTTTAGTTGCATTAGGCACTAAGAAATAAATTCTTATCTGCTCTATACTTTTTACCTATATTTTTATGCAGAGAGCGAATGAAAGTAGCCGCCAAGATGTTTCTCTCCTTGCAGCTGAGTTCCACAGGAGGCTGAATCCCATCATCCACCACCAGCGTCAGCAGCTTGTGTACAGGATCAGGCCCATGATAAGAAAACTAGCAGGAAACAGATACAAGAAAGGGCGAAGGGGGAAGTTTCATTCACCAAAAAAGCATAGCGTATGGAGCAGATGCAGCGAGTTCTCCTGCGCAAGTGCTCTTGCTCCCTCCACCTGCTCAAAATCAGTTTCCAGGAAAGGTGCTGTCAAACATCCACCTAACGCGATGTTTTCATAAATCCACTTCCCACAGAATGGATCCCAGGATATGTATTGTTATAGGATGGATATAAAGTTAGAAGAAAGAGAAAGCTAAAACACCAAAAGTGGGATGCAATGTAGGGAAATGATATAGCAGACCTCTAAGCAAGATTGAAAATGACAAACTGAGAAATATTATTGCAAGTGCTTGTGATTTAGACCAACAAATGGAATATACATTTCCCACCAAACTTCTTCAAAAAACAAAACACAAGACTGGATCCAATCCCACAGCTTAGCTAAGAGTTTTATTAACTCACCTTGGTGCCAGGACACACTCTGAAGGTAAAGAGACGCCAAGGAATGATCTTCAAGTAGAACTCCTTTACCGAGAATTGCTTTGAAGCCAAAGAAAAAGAAACCATGAACATCAATGGCACACAAAGAAATTGTTTAACAATATTCTCACCCAGTCATTTCTGCCAGTTTGAATCTATGGAGAAAATCTATTATCTCCTTACCTGTTCTGCCTCTGTCCTGGTGCTCCCACCTATTGCCTGATAGTTTCTAGTTTGTCAGATTTGACTGTGACACCGATGTTTTCATGAATGCACTACTCTGAAAGAACCTGATAAATAGGCAAATTCTCTTTCCGAGACTGACAAAGCAAGAGTATAAACCACCCAATTATGTGTTGGCAGGGGACTGGACTAGATGACTCCTGGGAATCTCTTCCAAGTCTAAAATTATATGATACTATGATCTGGTTTAGCTACAGGATGGCATTCTTACGAGAATTAATTAATTCTTATAAATTCTCATATTAATACAACAAGGAAGGCTTGGGCAGTTTGATCTTCAACACTTTTCCACGGAAGTACCTCAAACTATTTCACAACATAGTACAGGTCCCCTACAAAAGTGATAAGAGTCAACCATCAGGCTGAAGCAGTTCTTCAAAACACCTGACACCAGCAGACGTAAAAGTGATAACTGGAACAGTATGAAAATGGCTTTGATATTGTTTGAAGTGGTGTGGGCCAATAAGCAGTTCTCACCTTGGGTGAAATATAACAGTACACTTTTTTTGGTTTCTTCACTTTCTCAGGGGTCTGGCTGTCAGAAGGAGAGTCTTCATCCTCATCTTCAGTAGCAGTGGAAGGTCGACGCTGAGAGGAACCCAAATGCAGGGGTGGAAGATGCCATTGGGTGTTGGCATAGCTACTTGCATTATAAAGATAGGCCTCAAAGTAGATACTGACCCCTGAGGTAGAAACATTTCGCTCTACAATATTCTTCTCTTCCTCTGCAAGATATGCAAAAGACAGATGGAAAATGTCAAAAAGTCAAAGATCTGATGGTTCAAGATAATTCTGAACAGGTTATGACTGTTTTCTTTTTAAAATAGTTCTTTGACAAGGAAACTGACTGACTAAACAAAACTGTGGGGAGAAAATATGATTTATCAGTGTGTATGGAGATCGCTTTATAATTAAGTGAACCAACATTTAATATGCACTCCACGTGGTGGCGCTATGGGCTAAACCACAGAAGCCTGTGCCTGTGCTGCAGGGTCAGAAGACCAGCAGTCGTAAGATCGAATCCACGCAACGGAGTGAGCTCCCTTCGCTTGTCCCAGCTCCTCGCCAACCTAGCAGTTTGAAAGCATGCAAATGCGAGTACATAAATAGGTACCACCTCGGTGGGAAGGTAAAATGGCGCTCCCTAGTCATGCTGGCCACGTGGCAACGGAAACTGTCTTCAGACAAGCGCTGGCTCTACGGCTTGAAAACGGGATGAGCGCTGCCCCCTAGAGTCGGACACGACTGGACTGAAAATTTCAAGGGGAACCTTTATCTTTACTTTTACCACGTGGCAAGACAGATGCCACCACCCATGTAAGATTTGTTTCTCACATTAGTTTCTTTGCATTGCATCCCCAAGATTACTGATTACTCTGTGCTCAACAAAAAACTCAAAAAGATTTCAGAAATACCGATTTTTACCATTCTCTTCAATGAGTGCACTTTAATTTGTTCATGATTTTAAAAAATAATTCATAACAATATGACTACAACTTTCCAAAGAATTCTAGATATTACAGCACAATGTCCCATCTATGGTACATCAGAATGGATCCCTAGTAGGAAAGAGCAACCGGGATGTGATGCCTGGAGGGTCTTCAGAATGCCATCTGATGATAAGAATGGCTGTAAGCAACTACCAAAAGAAGCAGTGTGAGTCCTCTTTGGCCAGGGAGATACAGTTGATAAGACTCAGTTAAATTCCTCCAATGTCCTTGCTTTAACATCAGACAGAAGACTAGAAACAGAGACAATGTGTTTCTTTTGGGGGGGGGGTCTCTTGCCGGGAAGGATGAGGTGTGCATCTTGGGCATACTTTTGTACCCAGCGCTATCAATCTGACAGAAGACTAGAAACAGAGACAACATGTTTCTTTTTGTGTGGGGGGGTGGTGTCTCTTGCCGCGAAAGATGAAGTGTGCATCTTGGGCATACTTTTGAACCCAGCGCTATCAATGGAATTTCAGATAGAGTCGCTGGTCTGCAATGCCCACTTCCATCTAAGGCGGATCACTCAGCTGCATCCCTACCTTGACACCGGGTCCCTCACCAAGCTGGTCCATGCACTAGTAGTCTCAAGATAAGACTACTGTAATGCTCTCTATGTAGAACTGCCCTTGATGCTGAGACTTCAGCAGGCCCAGAGCCCAGCCGCCAGACTACTAAGTGGGGTAAGAAGGCATCAACATATCTCCCCCACCCTGGCCACCCTGCACTGGCTACCTGTTCATATCCATGCAAACTTCAAGGTAATGGTGTTAACATACTTTTATTTTTATTTATTTATTATTAGATTTTTATCCCGCCCTTTTAGACAGGAGTCTACTCTGGCCGGCTCACAGTATATTGTGCACAAAACAGATTTTAAAAACAACAATTAAAATCTACAATAATAAT